AACCTGAAACCATCAGCAGAAGGTTGATCTTGGACACAGGTGGATGTTCCAACCAGACAATGAGCCCAAACACACATCAGAGTGGAGAAGAAATGGTTCCATCAGGCTGGAATGAAGGTTCTAGACTGGTCTCCCCAAAGTCCTGACTGGAACCATCCAGAACCTGTGGACTGATGAAGGAACAAGTCTGAGTCAGAAAGACGACAAGTTTAGTTGAACTGCAGCGGTTCTGTCCAGAGGAGTCAGAGATGGACCAGAAGCTGGTGGACGGAACCAGAAGAGCTTAGCTGAGGTGAAAAAGTCCAAAGGATGTTTAGCCAGATAATAGCATTCCTGTAAGTATATTTTTGACCCAACAGATTCTGTCATATTCTCTTTGCTGACAAAGATTCCTGATTCCATCTGGAAAAGTCAGAGTTCTGGGAGTCAAGACAGCAAGTTACTGTAAACTTTTGTTCAAAGCTGTACACTGATGCTATAGGACGGTTTCCTCGAGGTCGATGATCCTGAATTAGTTGGAATTTTCATACAAAAGTGAGTTTAGTTCAGGGTTAGGTATAATCTGTGCCTCATGTTTCATGTCAGAGAATGATGCATCCGCCAGAACCTGAACAGTTGGAGTTGTAATGATCGAGCCCTCACAGCACCAGACTTCCAGCGTAGCCTATGGCACGTACATATTTCTCCCTGTCTGAGCATAAAGCTGGCGCTAAGATTGAGCCTCAAAGCAGAACTTTGAAGAGTTGGATCCAAACCCTCACCAGCTACAGTGGATGGAGTGTTAGAACTGGTCTGTGACATCATCAAGGTGTCGAATGGTATCCTCGGCTACACATGCTAACGCTAAACGTCACAATTTTTGGCCCATGACACACACACACACACACACACACACACACACAGATGGTGAAAACACTCCTCAAAACACCCAAAGATGAAACGAGTCAGAAAACAACCACATCACATCTCCTTCAAAAACAAACATTTAATTATGGCAGCTCCGCCGCATTAGTGGCCGACCGGCGGGGTTTGATGTGCGCCTCTAAATAGCGTTACATCGAGCCAGTAACATTT